CAAAGTGAGCCGATGAACTATAGGACTTGGCTACGTTAAGGACTACCTTAAGTTCGAGGCTTGGAGATCGACAATAAGCCGATTCAAATACTTCGAACCTTGTTCTTGCACCAGACTGGACATCGATTTTCCATATAGAAAACGCGCGTTATGAGACCCTTATAGGTCAGACGCCAATGGGGTCAAAAAGCGAGGTTTTTTAAGCGGCTTACGACCACCATCGATATCCGTTCCCAACTGCTTGATCTTACCACGTATGTCCCTGCATCGCTCCTTTTCTCAGCACGCTCACAGAGCTCCCCGATCCGAAAGACTCCAACCCTTATAGAGCATTTAGCAACGGCAAAAGCTATCACACTTAGGAGATGCTGACCGATCCCTACTGTCTTTCTGCGCGCCAGGCGTACCTGTGCGGATGTTAATAGCTAGCCTTTCTTTTACAGCCAATCTATAGGACCTTTCCATTACGATCTACTCCAACTACTAGGAGGCCCAACCCAAGACAAGAAGGGGAAAGCTCTCTCTCTTCTACCATTACCTTTTGGTCTTTGCAGCTCACTTGGTCACATGATTCAATTCTTTTGAATAGAAAGGAAAGCCGGATTTTTTTATTTACTAGCTTAGCTATCCTAGTATTCAATATGCGAGTAAGAAGATTCATTTTATAGGCTTGAAAATGTCTGGATAGCTCATTTGTCTTTACCCGGAGAGCCTATCTTCTTGCCTTGATCAAGACTCCTATCTTAGGATAACTACTAGGCCTAGGCTTTTGCCCTTTCCCCAATCTCTAGAATGCCTTCAATATCTTACCTGCTTGCTTAAAGCACTGGGACTCTATTTTGAATGGGATATCCAAAGACTGGAACAAATCTTCCAGCTTTTGGCTCTGAGAGCTCACTCGCCCCTTTCTTCTGCGTCAGCTTTTTTTGCGTTAGCACACTATCATATTCCCTTACTTCAGGGCTTGCAAAAGGAATTAGGACAGCAACTGCGACTCCCACTATTGTATTGGGACAATTCTGTATACTGATACTAGGACGGAATAACTTTCTTAAGGGGCAGGGGTGGGGAAAGAAAGTCCAACTCTTACTGCTAGCGAAACTGGTCCTCTATAAACCGTTAGCTTCTTAGAAAGGGGAGGACTAGTCATGGTATACACGTCAGCCACGTTAGTCTTTTCTTTTTACACCCTATTCTATTATTCCACAAGCAGACGATGAAGCCCATTAAGCCGCTAACGCGCATCTGAGAATATCTGTTAATTCCTCTTCGGTGTCGGCTCTTCCCTTCTCCTTGAACGGCCGCTTTACAGTATCGGAATTCATTCTATTTAATGTCGGAGATTTCCGGGTATTCCCACATTGAATCGACCAACAGTCTCTTTCCTGTGCTATTAGTCTTTTTTGCGCATATTCTACCGCTTCGCTCCTTACTACAGGCATACTTATGTATCAAGTTATCCCCATAGTCAAGATTCGATTTAGTCCTCAAACCAGTGAGGCGCGCGAGTGAAAGTAGTCAGCTTTTTTTTGTCTAAGCCTCTGCATACATAAATATGCCTCCATCAATGTATTTCTTCGATTTGCCTTATACCTTTGGCACCCTTGGTTCAAAGCAGTTCGGGCAGATGATAGGCGAAAAGAGTAGAATCCAGTCTCGTTACTAGGTGAAGCTACAACAGTAGGGGAAATCCATTCAAAAGAAGGGGAGCAAGACGGGTATTACACTTGGTTGCCACCTTATTCGATTTGCCCGGAAAGGCTTTTCCACTCAATTTCTTTCCCAGCTGGATAACCGGAATATGAGTTACCCATATGCCCACCTGTTCTTTAAGTGCCTTCCTCTCATCTGCCTGTAACGAGAGCGTAAACCGCAATTGAAGTTCGTACTTTACTTTATTTAGGACGAGAAAGACATATTTTACACTAGCTTTTGACCTAGAATTAACAGATGGATTGGCCTTGCCTACTTCAATGACAATGCCTGGTAAACATGTAGAAAAGACAGTTTAGAAGGCCTTTAGGGGCGTCATCCAACTCGAAATCTCGTAAGAGAAGAAAAAGAATGTTACGCCCAAAAGTCCCATGTCTTTCTTGGTTGGACCAAGCCAACCGGCGATTTCCGACAAGTCTTTCTTCATTTTTAGAGCAAGAAGCGGAACTACAAGAAAGCTTTCTTTATGGATAACCAATCTTTTTTCAAATATAGTTGGGAGACTCTCCCCAAGAAATGGGTAAAAAAAATGGAAAGATCGGAACATGGTAA